TCATTTTCCAATTTGTTACTACTGTAAGAGGGTCAAATGTATTGGTCCAATAAAATGAAAACTTGTAAGGTTTGTTAAGCTTTAGTTGAACTGTAGCTTTCAGTTATGAATGTTATAATGAGACCCTTAATACTAATTTTATATTGAAACAATGAAGGAAATAGCAGGGTTTCACAGCTGGACTCAAACTGTTTTGAAGAGATTAGGCATATAACTAGGTTGTTGGCAGTAATCAAGAAAAACTATGTAACAAAAGCAAAAGCTCAATCACAAGTAAATAAAACCAAACAGACCCACTAAGTAAGAAACACAAGATCATGACTGTCTGATACCCCCAATTCCAAAAAGCAACAAAATTTCACAACACAATCCAAATTCAAGATTCATAATTTGAAACATATATGTTAATTCAATTCCAAATTGACCAAAAGAAATTAATAAAATCCCAAGACAACAACTAAAAGTTAAACAAGATGAAAGCTTGAAAAATTAAGGAATGCATGGAAGATAGTTAAAATAATACTGACATGTCATCCATGAATTTAGCAGAGAGCATGACACTAGTGATGAGAAGCCTGTGAACATTGAAGGAGTTGATGGGGAGGTCGGGCTGGCGTTGCGTGAAGCGGTCGAGATAGACGTAGGCCACAATGTAGCAGGATGGGCTGCAGTTAGCGTACTTGAAGATCCTCTGCAAATAGCTGTGGATTGAGATGGTGGGCCTCGTGAGCCCGTGAAAGACAGAGGACAACTTCTGAGAGTGGGGCCCACGGCCGAGATCGTTCGACTCGGCCACTCGCTCGAGGAGTGAGGATAGGAAGCTGATGAGTTTGGGCAAGCTGCTGCTGTCTTCCATTAATATTATACTACTCCTTCTATATCTCTTTCTGTTTTCTCTCTGTTGTGTCTTACAAGAAAGTTGTGACAAATGAATATATATATATATATATAATCTCTTGGATTGTGATGTTGGAATTAATAGGTGGATAATTAATACTTACATATATATATATAAAGGGGTGCACTTTATTTATTTATTTTTGTATGATCCAACAACATGTAGGCTGGTTGTTGGTTTAGGAAGTTGGGTTTACTAAAATGGCCTTTCAAATTTAAAAATAAAGGTAGGACAGCTTCTCTTCTTCTGACATATAATAAACCTTATTGCCAAAATGATTGATACAAAGACTTTTTTTTTTTTTTTGGAAATTACTGCTAATACAAATTTGATTTGTGTTTTTGCAATTTGCACATACCAATGGAACAATTTTTAGTTAACCTCTAAAAAAAGCATGTCCCATATCTCTTGCCTGCTCACAGTATGAATCTTTTCATTTATCATCACATGTACAGCAAAAGAATGTTGATATTTTTGTTGGGTTAAATGTTCCTACACTTAGTTGTGATTAGATTATATAGATAATTGTGTGGAGTGGTGGGGGTGAATCTTGAATTTGAACTTAGCTTGTGAAGGAGGGAAAGATTTACTATCATTCATGGGTGAGGTGAGGTGTTCAACACTTTTTTGCTGGATTTCTTTTCTTTTTTTTCTTTTATTACTAGTACGTATCCCGTGCGATACACGGGACAGAG